GTGAACCCTTCTGTTGTTGAGGTTAGACTGGTTTGTTGAACGAATACCTTGGGTGCTCAGTTGAGGAAAGAGGTTGCGATGGAGGTGCTCTATGCCGGTAGAGTGCATAAAACCTTTCCAACTACTGCACGGTATATGCTGCATTATTTGCCTCTGTCGTGCCGGCTTCTGTTGCTCACTTGCAGGAGGTTGTCAACGGCGTGAGCAGGGACGAACCACAACCAGTCGGAATGCCCTGCAAGGCGCCGAAGAATCGCCCCATGGCCGTCGGGCCACTTGTGTCCCTCCTCCTCGTCATCGCCACGACATTGCTTCAGTACGCCGGCGCACAATCATCCTCGATTAGCTTTAATTATCCTGACGCCTGTGTGGCCGAAAGCACGGACTGCGTGGACGACGCGGAGTGTAACAGCTGCTTGGCTGGCCTGAGTAGCACAAGCTTAGGCGGCCTAGAAGAGCACTATGATTGCATGGAAGCAGAATACGCTGACAAGACCACCAGCGATAGGTGGGCAGTAACCGACGGTTGTGATCAATGGCGCAGAAGCGCTTGCTGCGGAGACATATGGTCCGCCGCCAATTGCCTTGAGAACAATTATTACGTGCAATATTATATTTGCATGGGAAATTGGTGGAATGATATGTTCAATAGCGATGAAGGATTTGCCGAATGTACCACCTTGACATGCAACTATTCCGCCGGCGACGACGGAACTCCTAGCTCTGTCGACGGGGACGATGCTAGCGCTGTCGGCGAGGCTGGGACTTCCGGCGCCGGAAGGTTTTTCCCGATCGTCGTGCTCACGTTCTCTCTAGGGCTAGCTTCTCTAGGTGCCTTGGAAATATCGTTCTAGATATAACCGGGTAACTAATATGGAGGCCGGGGAGGGGGTGGTATGGAGCCCTGAGAGACCTCAGGCTCCACATAGGAAAGAGCCTCCTTTGGATACGTAGCCGCCCACAGTTTCTTTGCGCAGTTTTTCGTCCTTCATTCCCGAGTTGTGCTTCCTCGTATCGCTCCACTTTTGGCTTTGACACGGCGTTTCTCCCTGGCCTTTCTTTTTTATTTTCTGTACCGTAAGTGTTTTGTGTGTATATTTGTGATGTGTGTGTTTTATGTTGTCTCTCTTTCGCTGATTGGCTCATTCCAGATGCGAACGTTTTTTTTTGTGTTTCGCCCTGCGAACCTGCCCAGCTATGCTGCGACACGTATCTTTGCGCCTTTTTCATGGAGTCTCTCAACTTCGATTTTGCGACGTTGATGGCTACGGGTTTTGTACGCGCTTTTGAGCTGCCGAGTTTCGTTTGGCTCTTAGTTTTGCTTTACGCCGTTTGCCGATGTACCTGATTCCAAGTTTCCGAGTCTGTTTGGTTTGTTTGTTTGCATCGTCGGTCCCCTCTGCTGCGTCTATTTTGCACGCCGATCACCGTGCTTTCGCTTTGGGTTCTGGTTTTGTTGATCCTTTTGGCGCGATTGTTTCACAAGAGTGCGCAACAAGTCCCGTCTTCCCGTCTCCACCTTACCTTCGTGATCTGGTTATCGGTCGGATGCTAGATGCAAAAGAGTTCGCATCACCACCAGTGTGCCTCAGGTATCTGTCGCTCAGCACTGCCCGATAAATACTCCCTACCTTCTCCCATTCATTGTTGCAGACGAGGTGTGCAGGTATCTGTCGCTCAGCACTGCCCGATAAATACTCCCTACCTTCTCCCATTCATTGTTGCAGACGAGGTGTGGGGGGTGTTCGGTAGGTTTTGGCATTTTTGGGGAGTGCAGAGGGGCGAGAGGCATGTACGTTATTGGGACATATCACGGCCAGCGCCGCGGCGCGCAGCGGACCGTCATGGCTCGCCGCGACGGGTCGCTGCGTGCCGCGGCGTGCATCCCAAAGTGCGTAAACACATCGCGGCAAGCCGCCGCACGCCGCGGCGAGCCGGGGCGTGCCGCTGCTTGTTTATGCCATCCGTCATACACGCCGCGGCGTGTGGAAGCCGTATTCCGTCCACAACCCCCACTGCAGCGTGCCACGGCGCACCGCGGCTGAAAGAAGTAAAAACAAACCAGTTGGACGCCGCGAGCCGCGGCGCAGGCCGCGGCACCCCACGGAATGGTGCTTTTTTTTCTGGAAGGATTTCGAAATTTTGAGTGGTTTCGTCGGAGCAAATTCTGCAATCATTCCTGGAAATGTATCTCGGGCGGCACCTCAACGTTTACGCGTCTATCTTCCAGGTTCTTCCAGTTATTCATATTTGAAACATGTCTTACTATTTGTGGACACAACCAACTCAGGATTTTCCCCCTCCAAGATCAGGACGCTCCCACTCTTTGTAGTGGTCTAGCTTGTTGCACATGACACCCCGTCTGATACGATGCTAGTTTCTTCGGGCAAGATGGACTGGTCGAAATCTTCGGTGCTTGCGGCACTGGCGCCGCGAACGACATAACAGTAGACCGGAGTAAAGTGCCTTTAGCACAAACCATTCTGACCTGATAAGATTTTCTCCAGGTTATTATGGCTTAGTTGGCGCCGCCGTGTGTAGGGAGAAAAACTCTCGTCTTCCCTGTCCCCGTGGTGATTCTGACTTAAAAATAGTAAACTGTTATTTTTTCAAAAAAGCCCCCCTCCGTCGCGACCAACCCGTGCATACAAAACACCGCTCCCCTCAAGCCATTCATTTTTGCGCACACCGTGAATTCCTAACTACTTTTGCGGTGGGTTCTCCCATACCACACCCGCCCGCTTGGCCACATTACGACAATTCGACGAGGATTCTCTATGAAAAAAAACGTTTGGAAGGAAAAACTTGTACATTGTATCCTTGTACGCCTCGATCCTCCCCCATTGCTTCTGCGACATCTGTTATAAAAAGAACGGTTACTGATTTAGAGCGGACGACTTTACTTACAAGCTTGCCCTCGAAGCTTTGGATCTCTGCACTCTCTGCACTAACATTTTTCTCCCTAAACCCTTGCACCCATTCCAGAAACAGCTTATTCATCTCAAGTATCATCACCTCCTTCTTGGCAGCATCACTTTCCCTCTGCTTCTTCCCTGTCTTATACTGCTTAGGACGACCAGACGGCACGGAGGCAGCCGATTCGAATGCCTCCGATGCGTCTCTTTTAACACCCCTGCTAGCACCCGACCCCTCCTCTACCCCAGAACTAGTGTGCTTCTGTGCTTTGGATGTCTCCGTTACCCTATTTTCGACACTCTTGCTCACACAAGAATCTGGCACACGAAGCCGACTCAGACCGTTAAGGTCACACAGAGACCCTTTCGTGCTAGCGAAGTCCCATAAGAAGGTTGCTTCCTCGTGCCCGGCGTCCCCTGCTTCTGTGGCTCCAACCGGTAGCGTGTGGAAGATGTCCGCCACCGATGCATCCAGGAAGGCCAACTTCGACAACCGCCGCATGTTGGCGACATTCTCCAGCTCTTCCCGCTCCATGCTGCTCAGATCCCTTTTGGACCAGTCTTCCAACATGCCGTCGGTTCCGACCTCGTCCACATATTTCTGGGGGGTTTGGCCGTGGTCTAGGCACGGTATGTACGTTTCCCACATTTCTTCGTGAGCGGCGATAAGCGACAGGATGTATCTCTTCTGGTCCTCCTCCAATGTCACACACGCACCAGGTGCCCCCCCATCCTTGGCGCATCTCTTCTTCAAGAGCTTCCACTGTCCGATCTCGATGTCGCTGTCCTCGAGACTGTACCGGCCGTCTTCGAATGATGCCACTGTGTACACAACGCCATCGATCTTCACGCACGTTTCGCGTAGTTCCACCCCGACGTCTGTCGGGTTGTACTTGACATTCAGATCGTAGAATTTCTCGAGAGAAGCGATCGTGTCCCTCTTAAAGAACACCTTGCCAGGAGTAATCTCGAGCTGCCCCTCGCCATCTCCAGTCAATCCCCCCACGAGAGTCCTCACCAGCCCCAGGTACGTCAGTTTGTCGTATTTTCTGGTTGTTTTGTCGACCGTCTCTTTATATACTTCCATTTGCTCGTCAGCTTGCTTGTCGCGCTTCTTCATTACCCCGCGCACCACGTCCTTCCATGGCTTACAAAAGTCGTTGCCTATTGTGACAGACGTTGACCCTCCCGGAGTAATAGCCAGGTCCTGGTCGCACTCGATTGTATCCACCAGCACGGTGGACACATTCACCGGCATTTTTGCTGCAGCTGGTATAAGCCTACTCTCACCAATGTAATTTTATTGTCAGTACACGCACGCATGCTCAAATGTTTCTAGAAAAGAAGGAACCAATCTGTTCCGTTTGTGTACATCTTGGTTGCCCCGTAGTCAGTAGAGAATGTGTAATTTGGCTGGCCTGATATGAGCTCGGTGGAACTGGGGTTTATCGTGACAACGTTGTTACCCGCGACCTCCTTGACCACGTATAGGATATCCCCGACCGTCTTTGTAGCCGGGTCAGGTAGGGTTACAGTCGTATCTTGAGCCACAGTGATGGCCACCACATCATCATTAGGTGTAATTGTGTACGTCGCGACCGACACGTCTGCCCTTGTGTTTGACGGTGAAAAACTGAGATTTCCCATCCCATCTGTCACCAGCACGGTGTTTTCAACAGGTGATGTGGATGGGAAAGTGTAAGAACCTAGCTGGACATTTCCCGTAGAGGACGTGATAGAGAGTGAGGTGTTTGATGATATGTTTGTCACGTTTATAGACCCCATGTAGATTGTACCAGACATGTCGAAATAAGACAGATGGTCCGTGTGACATTCGAACGTGATATTTATAATGGCACCTACTTTCCACAGAAAAATGTGCGCGTACGACCACACGTGACAATCCCTTTGCCGTTTCAAAAAGGTTCAGCAATTCCGCCGCATCTTCAGGTCAACGGAAAGCGGCGCTGCACCGTCACGCCCCGCACCCCTTTGTGTCTGAACCGGTACATTGCACAAAATAACTGAACGAACAACTATTGCGTCACAAGACTCCCCATTCGAGCTCACTCCCCAGCCTCCACCATGGGTCCTCTCGCTTTAGCTCCCAAGCGCATTAAAGTCCGCACCATTTCTAAGGCAAGGAAAGCCATCACCAACCTCACCAAACTGAGGTTGGATGGATCGGAATCGGAGGTCACCGTGTCCAAAACGCACGCTAGGATGGGCTTCCGATGTCCAGTGACAATCGAAACGATATTCGATGCGCCGACAGAGGCGCAGGTTGTTCAGTTCTACAGTTCGAGGTGTCCAGACGGGATGTCGTTTTCCCACCTTTCCAACCCCGAAAAAATATACTGGGCCGAGTCTCTCCGAGATAACACGACGCTGATGGGCTTTATAGTCTATAGCCAGCTCCTCCCATCCCTCCTGACGAACCGGATCAAGCTAAACTCGGCAACCTACCACTGGGCCTATCTGGACCCCGCCTCAGAGAAGGGCAGGATTAAGCTCGGGCAACGCCGGGAAGCCGTCGCCAGGCTCAACAGAGATGGCTTCACGCGCTCGGTATTTCGCGGCCTTCCGTACGGGATTGACACGTCAGTCGATATTCTGGCCTACATGAAGATGACAATGGATGCTGAAGACGAGCGCTTCCGCTTTTTCACGAGCCGCGAGTTTTCAATGATGTGTTCCGAGCGGGGAGACGTCAACGGTTCTTCCGTGTTCGCCTCTAGCTCCATGGCGCTCAGCCTGATGTGGTTTGCCACGGTTGTTTTGGGTCGTCCGTGCAGCCTCGAGTCGGTGATCCTACCTCTATCCATCGTCGAGAGGCAACACTTGGAGCGGAGGTTCGGCTGCCCTCCGCAGTTTTTCGACGGACCCGTGCGGGGGTTTCAAACCTAGTGGAAGGGCGTGTTCACCTCCATCGGCGTAGCTCACCGCAACATCGACTACACTCTGCTCGAGAAAGCCAGCGAGGACAGATACATCGAGGGATTGCATGTCGCCGATGCCTACGCCGTTTATCGGGCCACCGTGTCGGCACCGGGCGACGTGAAGGGCATCACGTCACTGGTCGAGTCGTACAGGATGCACTCGAAGCACGGGGTGGAATCCGGCGCGGTGGTTGGTGTGATGGATATTATCAGGGCAAAGTCTGCCGACGCGACCGGAAAAATCGACGGTACCGTCCTGGGGGCCATCCATGCGACGTTCGGGGAGGACGCAAGCGCTCGTGTCCTACAGGCGTCCAACGGCAAGCTGCGGGGAGGGGTCACGCTGTTCGACGACTCCGTCAGCGGCAAGCTCCGTGAAATTATGGGCCATTTCGACCAGGCGCTGTGGAATGCGCGCAAAAAACACAAGATAGAGCGGATCGTCGCGGCAAACATGGACCCGGCGGGTTTAAATGCGAAGATCGCGGGCGGCAAAATGCTCGACCCCCGCGACGCCAAGTCGATCGAGCTCATGCACGGCATGCTCAAGGGGTTGTCGGCACAGGTGTGGAGCCCTCTGAAGCGACTGATCGGCGAGGCTCTGGGAGGGAGCATGACTTACCCCTCGGCGTTCCTGAGGCTCTCAAGCGGAGAATCGGAAGCGCTTTACAAGCATCTGGTTAAATCGGGCGTGGCGTACACGGACATCGCCAATCTGTGCACGCTCCTGGTGATGAGCTACTCGTTCCAGCGTTCGCAAGTGCTCCGAGACTCGACGGTGGACGAGTACGTGCTCGTGCCGGACGGGACGCACTACCGACTCGTCTTCCAGAATCGTCGGTTCAAAACTGCATCATCGACTGGAGGCTCCTCTGCAAAGCCGGTTTCGCATTTCAATCTAAGTTCAGATCAATCGATGATCGTTAAATTCATCTCCGGTGTGGGGCATCGGTTCTGCAAGGTCAAAGACATGGGAGACGATACAAGGAGGCTGTTTCTTAACAGCAAGGGGGAAAGCTGGACCCAGAAGGACATCGGGTCGCGCTTCAAGATTATCGGCGCTAACTGGCTAGGCATCCAAAAATTCTGCCCACACGCTTGTCGCTCTTTTTACGCGACGCATGCCCTCAACACCGGCCAAGTTACTCCCGCTAACGTAGAAAATTTCAGCAGTTTTTTGCAGGTGTCGAGCGCAACCCTGAGGAATTCGTACATGTCGGCGGGAGCTCATACAGCAGCCCACACCCTCGGTAGCGAGGTTCTGGGGTCGGTCGTGAATGCCGCGTGTACGGGGGCGACCACCAAAGAGGGGGCCGCCCCCTACGGCAAGAAACTTAACTCACGCCGACTTGAATTCGTCGAGCAGATTCGCGCGTCCCTAGTGAAATACGGGGGGAACGGCAGGCTGATGTTCCGTGATTTGGTGCAGAAGAGGGAGGCGGGGCGCCTTGCGGACGATGAAAAATGGTTTCGGTTCGACTCGACTTTCTTTTCTGAAAAGAAGGAGCGCTTGTTTCAGCGGTTTCTGTGCAAAATGTGACTGGGGTGTGAGGGGTAGAAGCAAGAGCGGGTAGGGTTTGGGAAGAAGAAAATAAGACAAATGCATTTACACACAGCCTACAGGGCAAGCGTACCGGGTCAAGCCGCGACCGTCCCAGAGGGGAGCCGCGCAGGGCCGCGCAAGAGCGCCATTGCCGGGCGGCAGCGCCGGTGCCGCGTGTCACCACAAAAAAAATCGGATATCCTTTTTATTTTGTTTTATTTTTTCTCCCGACAACAAAAAGCATAAAACACCCCCCTGCCCGACCCTGTACGCAACTTACATTGCGAAACGCTGAAAGCGACAATGCCGAACAGAGAAGCCCCGCTAGCATTACCGCAAGCAGAGAACGCACACATCAAAACACACAGAAAGCGGGTTGAACTCTACTTCTAGCCCGCGCTTCTACAAAACCAACACATACAGAAGCCCGTAAGTCCGGCGCTGTCTTCGTCGCGTGGCTGCATGGCCTGCTCAGAACGCGAGGGTTGGGCAAAGGAGGGGGCATGGTACGTCAGTCAGGGCGGGTCATCAAACAATCGGTAAACATGACATAGGAACAAAGTAAAGCTACAACCGAGAAGCAACCTCTAAATCACCGACTCACCGTTCAATTACCCGACCGGCCCCCCGGTCTCTTTGTCCCCGGACCGTACAGTCGCAAGAACGTGGAGGGCGCGCTCGAGAGCACCGTCGCTAGGGGGGTCTCCGCTGGTGATCCTGTCCTCAGCAAACTTCTTAATGCACTGCGACGGAGTTAACTCTTCTTTGGAGGCAGAAAACAGACCAAACACTCCAGCACCAACTCCAGGGGAAAAAGCGCATGGGACTGACCGCTCCTTAGCGCCCGCCTTCATAAAGAGCTCTAGACACTTGGTCTTATTTACTGAGACCGCATTTATCGCTGCGGCATGAAGGGCGGTACCATTCGACTCGGAATCGATGTTGACGTCATACCCGTGCCCGATGAGAAGCTTCGCCGTGTCTCCGCCCTCGTCACAACACGCGAACGCGACATAGTCATCACAGGGGTCGTTCAGGCCAACACCCAACCTCAAGAGCGCGTTTACGGCAACCATGTTCACGCTTCTCATTGCCGCGGACAGTGGCTTCTCGACGTTGAGGTCGTTGTCGACGAGGCATTGGAGTGCGCGGTCGATTTCGTCGTTGCCGTCGCCACCCGGGTCGCAGCATACCACGATGGTCCTCAAGAGCTCCACCATTGCTTCTTCTTCTTCATCCTCATCAAACTTCAAGTTCTCGAGCAAAGGCTTGCAGATGAGGGGCCTCTTGTTCAGAAGCGCATTTTCGATGCACCGGGGGACGTCTGCTTTGCACTCTTGGAGAGCCTCGAAAGCTGTACGGGTGGCGTCGCGATCAGGCTCCCCGTAGTAGAGAGCTTTGGCGACCGACTCAAGAAGAACCATCCAATGATTATTGAGTTTGTTCATGCCGTGGATCGAGTACCCTGACTGACTTCGGAGTCTCTCGAGAAGGGACTTGTAGTCGCCTCCTCGGAGGATCACATCCATCACCTGTTTCGCGCACACAAAACAAAATTACCCCGTGCGGTCAAATACGAACGCGCTGAAAACTGAAAGCCGAACAACCCCTCCCGCAGACTACCCACATGTATGTGCGTCTACAAACAAATCGCCCCAAAACAAGACCTACTCTCGGTATGTTATGGAAGTATCATCGTTACAACGTCGCACCTGCCGAGTGGTGACCATATTCAAATCACAACGTGGGCGCCTTGATTCCAAGAGGGCTCGGTTAACTGCTGATAGGAAAAAGGTAGGAGGAAAGAGCAGACGCCGTCAAAAACCGACGCAGCACTTCCACGGATACGTTTGGTTTGGTACATAGGCGTTGCCGGCGGGCTATGTGATCAACTGGTCAGAGATGTGGTCCACGTCACGTAGTACTATTTCGTCTGAGGCGGCAAAACAAAATAACAACATGGTTGGTTGAACGCTGCAAGCCACGAACAGGTGCGACTCACAGCAAGTAACGCAGGACATGCCACCGCACGCGCCCCTACACAGTTCACCATGGTTGTGACGACACCAGTGTTTACCCTTGATTTGGAGATTGATGGTGTATGAAACTAAGATCGGGTGACCATACCATAATCTACCAGTCGTCTGATCACGGTGGTTCGATGTGCGCCATCCGACTCACCGATGGCGTCTGTGGCGTACGCGTCCCGGTGAAGCAGCTAACGTCCCCCGCAGCGGTTGTGAGGTGTCGACCTGTCTCGCGATGACCCGAGCTGAGAGGGGGAGGGAGGGAGGGAGGGAGGGTGTGTGGGTGTGGGGCGTCCCTCCGAAAAAGAGAATATTCAAAGAGCCAAAAATTTCAGAATTCGGACTTTTTTCGCTCTTTCAGGGCGGAGATTCAAATTTTAAAATTGGACGGATCTGAGCCGAACGGGTATGAAAATCCCCGAAAAAGTCCGACGCTCCCCCAGACTGTGTACGGCCTTCGAGATGGAGGTGTGTGTGGGCTCGAAGGGCGATCACGTGTTCCGATTGACCTGGGGTTCTGTGAACCCTTTTCAATTGGCCCCGTGCATCCACCCTCCAAATTTCAACAACCAGCTCTATCGTGGGGGCGAGAATTTTCTAGGCGGTGCTCGACGGGGAAAGTTCGGAAATACAACGGGGGAAATACAATCAATGACCCGCGGAGCCAACGTAGTAGCCGATGCGCGTGAAAATTCAGGAGACGAAAGTGCTGGAGCTACTGGTGATTATCCGCCGGGTTTCAGGGCCAAACTCCAATCCCTTGACAAGCGGCGGTGCATTGGGGGTGAGGTAGGGTTGTGGATGATGAAAAGTAAACGTATTCGGCGGTGTTTTCTTCTTGGGCATGAGTCATTCTCGGAACCGTTCGGCGGATCTTCAACAAGTAATTTTTATTCGCCGTTTGCCGACCAGTCTCCAAGAGCCCCACCCACACGCACACAACCCAGCAGGCACCGCACGCACAGCACGCGGCACCACGAAGCAAGGCGAGGGAGGGCGTGACACAGAGTGCCGTGGGTGCCCCGTACGCGCGGACAGGGAGGGAGACTGGGAGTGAGACCTATCGGTGCACACAACGGTGAACGTAAAATAATTTTCGTCCTCGTCCATCATCTTGACCATCGTTGACTGTCATATCTCACGGACCCCTCTCGGAAGCGCGCGCTCAAGACACTTCAACCATGGCCAGCACGAAGCAGGTGCGAGGATTTGTGGTGGCCTGGATCATGTTCATGGCAATTGTTTTGATATATTGCGTGTTGGAGAAAACTCACGAAATTATTTAGCTCCGCGGTTGGCCTGGACAACACCAGGAGACTATGTAGGGGCTCAGCCGGTTTGTACCTTTCCCTTTCTCCGGTCGTTCGCAGACGGCTCGCGCTCAGGCACCTGCAGGCGGAGGCCAGAGTGACCGGGAGAGGCAGGAGAGGGAGGAGGAAGTCAACAAGAAGGAGCTGAAAGAGCTGCTGAATGCGTTCATCGACGGAGGTCTCGAAACTCCACCGCTCTGCACTGCTTCCACCAACGGAAACACGGGTTTAGTGGTGGCGCTCCTGGACAAATCCAAAGCCGATAAAAATTGCAAAGACAACGTTGGTGAGACACCCCTGATGAAAGCAGCACGCGAAGGCCACCTGCCCGTCGTGGAGATCTTACTGGCCGCTGGTGTCGACGTCAACATCGCCGCCGACGCCGTCGGATCCACCCCTCTCACTCTTGCAAGCTCGAACGGTCACCTGCTTGTCGTGAATGCCCTGTTGGGCGGGGGAGCGGACAAGGATGCTGCCACCGACCGCGGCTCCACCTCGCTCATGGCTGCTAGCTGGCAAGGTCACCTGCCTGTCGTGAATGCCTTGTTGGACGGGGGAGCGGATAAGGATGCTGCCACCGACCGCTGCGACACCCCGCTCATTGCTGCTAGCTGGTCAGGTCACCTGCCTGTCGTGAATGCCTTGTTGGACGGGGGAGCGGATAAGGATGCTGCCAACGACGATGGCAACACCCCGCTCATTCTTGCAAGCTCGACCGGTCACCTGCCTGTCGTGAATGCCTTGTTGGACGGGGGAGCGGATAAGGATGCTGCCAACTACGATGGCAACACCCCGCTCATTCTTGCAAGCTCGACCGGTCACCTGCCTGTCGTGAATGCCTTGTTGGACGGGGGAGTGGATAAGGATGCTACCAACGACCGCGGCGCCACCCCGCTCATTGCTGCAAGCCGGCGAGGTCACCTACCTGTCGTGGAGACTCTACTAACGGCCGGGTGCGACCCCGCCTTCCGTGAAAATTCCCAGCGGTATACCGCTCTACACTACGCCGCCCAGTTGAACAAAGTCGAAATTGTCAGCCTCCTGCTGCGGTGGGGGGCGGACGAAACAATCCTGGACGAACACCACAAGACTCCCGCGGATAGGACCAACCACCAGCGAGAGAGTGCGCCTCCTGCTGGCCCGGGCTCCCGCCGGCAGGGCGTTGCGCCGCCGGGGCTGGCTCGTCATGCTTCGTTCGCGCACCCTGAAGGCGAGGGCAGCTGGTGGCGACGGCGGCTCGGGTGGTTCAAGTGGCGACGGTGGCGACGGTGGCGACGGCGGTGCTGCGGGGGCGCGCTCCGTGAAGCAGCGGGGCGGGGCTGGCGGCGAGAAGGGGGGCTTTGACCTGTTTGCGGCGGTGGCGCAGCTTAGGCTGGTGGAAGAAGGCGTGTTTCGCAACGTTGTCTGCTTTCTGTGAAGGCCGGTCCATTTTTGTCTGTGGCTGAGCGCAGGGCTTTGTGTGTTTGGTGGACAAAGGAATGCGGACCAGTTCGCCCGTGTCTGTGTTGTAGGGATTTGTAGGGGTACCAAGTGAAGACAATTCGTTCGATAGGATTCCAGAACATCTGTCGTTGATTTTTATTGACTTGCGGACCCCTCGGGGCCAGTTTTTTAGGGTAAGTTAACCTGTGACAACGGGAATCGACCGCGTCGAGTGTTGGATCAGTACGGACATACGAAGGTACTGGGTAGAGAGAGATCGGAACGGTTTTTAATGTGAAGACAATGACAACAATCAAAGGGGCGCGGAACACTCCGTGTCTGCGGTGTGATGTGGCTGTTGTGCCGTTTCGACCACACATCCCGGTCACATGACAGTCCCTGTTCCTTTTCAAAAAGGTTCAGCAATTCCGCCGCATCTGCTCGTCAACGAACAGACGAACAGCGGCACTGCACCGTCACGCCCCGCATACTTGGCTATTCATGTGACTCTGGCTGTCGACGAGAGAGCGCCTTGTGCCACAATCGGGCGAGTTCACACAAGTTGCTTAGTTTCGGTCGTGTCGCGCAAGAGCGCCATTGCCGGGCGGCAGAGCCGGCGTGGCGTGTCACCACCAAAAAAGTCGGACATCCAAGGGTACTCGTAGAAAAAAATTCAAGACACATAGGCCCACTAATCGAAAATCGTGGTCCGGGGGGGGGGGGGGGGGGGATTTGGGGGGGGGGGGGGGGGAAAATAACATGGCTACCCCGGGGTTATAGCCCAGGGTTGGGGGCTTGG